ATATGAAGCTGTCTGTGTTGTAATGAGTGAAATGTGTCCCACCCAGGGTTGCATAATCCGGTCTGGGACCGAACCGGGACCGAGCTGTGACCTCAGGCTGACGTGCTGATCCAGATCCTCCCATCCGGGATGACGATGATGATGATGAAGATGCTCCGCCGCTGATTGCCCGCAGTCTCTCCCACCCGGAGCCCACCAGCAGCTCGCTCGGTTACCCGCTGCTGATGCTTTCTGTTGAAAACAGATCGAGCCCCGGCTACGAGCGACAAGGTAAGACTTTGATTATTGATTTATTTGGCTTTTTGCTCGGAGCTGGATGAGAGGAGCGGGTGGGAAAAAGAAGAAAAGGCTCCTTTAACCCCTCGAAGAAAGACGCAGCTTCTGTTTATTAGCTACAGTAGCATCATTAGCATTGTTAGCTAAACAGCGATTAGTTGATGATGAACAGCAGGTTTTTTATGGTAGGATTTAATGGATAGATGTTTAGCTGGTGACGTTAAGGCAGGTTCGCGCGTGGTAACGGTTTGACACATCATCCGCTATCCGTCCCGTTAAAGGCTCGAGACGTTTATGTTGAAATTACGTCACGTTTATTAACGTATTTAGTCGTTTGAGGGAAATAAATGTGTCACAGCGTGGCTTTATTAGAGGCCTGTTTATCACCATTTTGATCACACACACACGCACACGCACACACGCACCTAAACAATCGGCGGAATCAGGCAAAACAGCGTCAAGTTCCGGGGTTCGTTCGTACAACTTCCGGTGACGGGTTTCAAAATAAAAGCACAATAGGACGCCATCTGTAAGATTGAACCCCGGAAAAATGTTTTAAATGATCGTTCAGACGGACTCTTGCTTTATTTGGCAGCAGTTTAAATTCACACATTGATGAAGTGCCGGGAATGTGCTGTAGTATTACATCAAGGCATTTATTTTGAAATGCATGTGCAAGCTTTTCCGGTTGTGTTGAGGTAAATTGTGGACATCAGGCAGATCAAACAATATTGTGTCATGGCTGCAGGATTAACATAAGCTTTGCCACTTAAAAATCCACTCTGTGAAAACAGCTGACTATTTTTATTTTTATTCTGTCTGCCTTTTTTTTCCTCCAGAACCAAAGTTCTGATTGGCTTGTTCATAAATTTTCAATTCTTTACAATTTTAATAGTATGTTCTGTTTATGATATTAAATTAAAGTACCTGTGACATGCATAACCTTCAAATACAAAAATAAAAGAAAACATTTTTAGATTTAAGAAACATGATTTTACTTGTTTTGCCACATAACTGGCATGTTTTCTGTTGAACTTGGCTCAGCCACACTGAAACAGGAAGTGACATCAAAGGGGAGCTCTTCAAGAAAGAAAACTCTCGGTCTTTGTTTACTGAATCGATATTATTTGAACTTTGACTCTTCTTCATCTCTGATAGTGCCTCAAAATAATCTACAGAAACATCAGTGTTTATTAGTTATTGTAGCACTGCTCTGTTTACATGCAGACATTCCCCTTTGACATCACTTCCTGTTTCTTCACATGCAAATATCTCAACAACCGTTCATCTCAGCAGAGTGAATTTTTTTGCAAAATGTTATTGATATTATCTTTCCTAAAATATGTTCATTTTTATTACAAAAAAAATTATGTCATGGGCACTTTAATGATTAACTGTGTGTAAACCAGCTAATTGACTTTAGGCTACACAAACATGGCTCTACCTCAGAGAGTCATACAGGAGACATACTATGAGTGTTATCATAACAAGCAAGACATCACAATTTCATGATGCAAAAAAAACAACTTTTATTTCTCAACATGAGATGAATTTGTTGTTGATTCGCACACATAAGTTGTACAGTTTACAGTAGAGCGCAGTGAGAGTGTTTTTCTCCTCTGAATGCGTCTGCGTCAGTCAGACCGGTGACCTCTGAGCTAATCACAGAGCTCTTACCAGATTAGCGCCTGGCCATCACGGTCTTAAGACCCTGGTCTGAGTCAGAGCGTCGGGGCGAGGAGCCTGTTCTCTGTGTTCAGCTGTTCCTCCTCATCCTGGAATGTGTCTCCTGTTATGTAACCGAGGGTCTGTGGAGGCCGGATGTGCAGTGTTCCTGACTGCGTGTTTCGGCTGTGGTTTGATTCTACGCTGTTGGGGTTGGTCATTTGCACCGTCATTATGTTCAGATAGGATTTGCAGCGCTGTTTGATGCTGGCAGCGAAAGTCACATCCTAACACTTTACCTCGTTTAAATTATCTTTTAAACCTGTTAATCTGAGAACCTTTAAGTCTGTTTCATATCTGCAACTGTAAAATCCAAAAGTGTTTTTCTTTTATTTACTCATTATTTTCAGCCTAAAATGTTAAAGTGTCACAAGCTGCGTTTCCATTGACCATGAAAATGCGCAAATTAGAATTTCAAAAATAAATTTGCTCAATGGAAACACGTCAGTTAAAAAAAATTACATTTTTCAACAAAATGTTTTTGCGTTAGGATGAGGTGGTTTTTCGGCCGTATAGAAATTGGTGTTTTTCGCAAAACTGTAATGGAAACACTTTTTTCGCGTCACGGGAGTCACGTGATCAACAACCGACTGTTTCTACTGGTGAAAAAGACGATGACGAAGAAGATAACAGGAAGTAGAAGTAGTAGTAATATCACAGAAGTAGT